AGAATAAACAAAGCATTTGATTAAGGAATCCAATGGACCCCAAAAAGGGAAAATAGCTTGAACTACAAACTCCATATAAGATCACAATGCAAAAAAAGGTAACTATGTGTGTGACTCCCCGCTCTGTTGACACACAAAGTAAAATGTTCAGGGGGATAACACGATTCAGTCTACGCTCTTGGAGTAACTCATAAGTATGAAGCTTGTTAAGAGCTGTTGTCCATACAAACACTTTAATCTTAGAGGGAACCTTACTTTTCTATAACATTTTTGCATAACGAATCGAGATGCTACTAGGGTGTTTAGTTAGGTGATGGAAAAAGGATTTGCAAATATAGGGACTAGAAGGTTCTAAAGATCATTGTCTACAGTAGGTGTTTGTGAAGCATAGGTATCTAACGTATATAATAAAGCAATTAAATCCTCAGTCTCTCAATCAGGTTCCAAGAAAAGTGAAAGCCCCAAGCAACAACATCATGTGAGTCATAAGGAACAAAGAAATGGGTTCATGATGTCTAGTTGAGATGTTGTATAAACGTGGATTGACTATCGAAAGGTTATTGCCAATCCAATGGTCTTCACAAAACAGGACTCGGTTACCATTGCCAACCTTTAATCGAGTGAGGGGAAGGAAAATGTTGTATAAGTGTGTTATAGTTTTCCATGGGCTATCGAACTATACAATTTTCCCTACAAGAATATCTCACCCATTCCCTACAACCACCATGGATACTCTTAATCAACTCGAGCTACTATGAATTAGGTTCCTGAAGAAAACATTATAGCTATTTAGGCAATGGTAATACATTCTTAACAGCTAGATCCCCAAATTCCAAAACTTGATCTTCAGGCTAACAGTAGATCTCCACTTAACTAAATGATCCTTACATTCCTCTCCTAACCTTGTCTGTAAAAATCTCCTCATACACCTCTCTAGTCTCTCTACCACCCTAGGTGCTCTAAACAAGAATAAAAAGTACATCGGAATGTTACAAACACACTTGGATAAGGGTGATGTGACCTCCTAATGAAAATAATCCCCTTTTCCAACACTCTAACCTTTTAGACACTTTGCTAACCACTCCCTTCCAAAAAAGAAGTCACTCCTAGAGTTACCCCCTGATGGAATCCCCATATATGTAACTGGCCATGAGAGTTTGGTGCAACTAATCACCTCAAATACTCTTTTTGTTTTTGAAATAACAATCACCTCAAATACTTTATCATATAATCTAAACAATGAAACTGATAAAATAATACAAATAAGTAAAAATCCTAACCTATTTAGAATGTCAAATTAAAATAAGTCTTAATAATTTAAATAATAGGACCAATAGAACTCCACCTTACGCATGACGAAAGTGTGAATAAATTAGCTTAATCAAGTTTGAGCTAAATATAGTTACTTGATATTGCTCGAGCTAACAAAAAACGAAAAATTTCACTATGAAAATTTTAGAAACCACTAAGAAAATAAATATTGGAACCCATCGAGACAACAATATTCATGGAAGAAGGAAATATTACTCGTAAACCGACATGGCTTACATATTCATAGTTCTCTAAAAATAACACTAGTATGAAATTAATTCCTAGATAAAACTAATTTACTGCACATAGAACTTTATCCCATAACTAACACAAATATCCTAACTAAACTACTAATATCACACAAATCGTATTAAATGCCCAGTCTATTTAGAATCTAAACTGAAAATATATCTTAACACTTCAAATAATAGTAAGAATACAAATTACTCTCCTCAGCATCATCTACCTATATGAAGAACAATTGTATGCCCCCCCCCCCCCAACGGACAACATGCATATTAATAACTCTTCTCTCTATAAGTATTCAGTGAATAATTTTCATTCAGAAAAAAACAATCAAATAATTTGTTTACATATTCGCACGCTCTCAACACCACTTTTTCGAACATCATTTGTTGATCGAGTTACAATCACATGCCTATTTTGTCTATGCACTTCTCTTCATGTTCCTAGTTCCTTTTCTAGGACTAAAAGTAAGTGTCAGTCTAGCACATATCAGAAAACTAGCAAACTGGTAATTTCATAATTAGGTTGCATATATTTTGAGGACAACAAAAGGCATAGTGAAACAAGGGAGATTTAGAAATAAGAACTAAATTTAGGGCATAATAACATTCAATGCCTAAAAAACATATAGTAAATAATGAGTCCAGAGATAAGAACTGCACAAAATCATTCATAATGCAGAACAAAAAAAACTACAGAAAATAGCTGCATTCAAGATTATGGTTTACTTAAAGATAGATATCTTACGTAAAACATGAAAAATTCCATCAACAGCTCGAATATGGGATAGAAAACTGTTTCCCAACCCTTGACCTTGATGTGCACCTCTAACCAATCCAGCTATATCGTGGATTTCTAGGAAAGCTAAAACCTGCAAATAAAACTTTGTCAATATCTTAAATAACAACAAAGCAGCACATACATAAAACCAAATTAGAAGAAAAAAAAGAATTATATTAACATGGCACCAATAGGGTGCAACCCAAATACACAAAAAAAAACTTCGTAAGACTATCAAAATGTCAACAAGATCCCCAATATCCTCAACAAAATTAAGAAGCCGACCTCAATAAAAAGCAGAGGACTTGGAACTACAAATCTTTACACCTGTAAAAATTATTATCTATACTCTCAAAACCCATTCTTTGTTATTATGCTTATCACCTCGGATGCACCCCCTAGCCTAGATTTCATCCTCAACTGAACTGGCCATCACCCAGCTTACACCTGATATGCAATAAGCAACTTGCCACACTTGAAAAGAAAGAAGGCACCAAAGAAAGAGATTGTTAGGTAACTCAGCTGCCCTCTTACAAATATAACATTAATTCAATCTTTGTTTGGATAGTAGCTATTTGCATGTGACAAGGGTAACTTGTGGGCTTGGGTGTTTGTAGCAAAGTATGGAATCCCATGAGAAGGTAGTGTTACCAAGGGCTCACAGTATTGGTTGTGGAGAAGGATTAGGAAGGGGTGAGATGATATTGGGGATAGACATTTAGGTGCAGGTGGATCATTCTATTCCTGGAATTATCATTAGTGTGAAGTTAAGTTGTGCTACTCTACTATTCCAAGTGAAATTTTGTTGGATGTTTGGTTAGCTAGAAACATAAATCACTTAAAGGAGAATGGGATGGTTGTATTGCTAAATTGCATCACATATACGTGCACCCTAAGTGCAGACCCTCTTCTTTGGTGGCTATGAAAGCAAGGGTACTTTCTATCAAGTCCTACACCCACCCACACAAGAGTGTGGTTATAGAAAATTCCCTTCATGACCTCATGCAGTTAAGAAAAAGCATCCTTTTTTACATGATTTTCTTCGCTTTGAAACCGGTTTTCAGGAAGAATTTGAACAATGATAGTCTAAGTGAAAAAAGGAAGGATCTAAATAACTGTTGTTAATTCCATTTGAAATCCCCCAACCACCTCCTTCTGTGGAGCCCAATGGCACTGCAACTTTGAAAACCGCTTTGAATTTCCTAAAGCTAAAATGGGCCTTTGGAAGTTTGTTCATATAAAAGATTTGGGTCTGGCATGGTACCAAGAGCAATAAAAAGAAACAGCTTGCATCATCCATATTTGCATAGGAAATGGAGGACCTTTCCGTGGTGTATGCTTCCCTTTCCCCAAGATTATAGACACTAATTTCAAATCTTTTCTATTTTGTTCAAAAGATCATCCCAATAAGTCTCAATAGAGGGGAGGATTGGGGGATTTCTTAGATGTTTTGACTACCATTTAAATCCATTTTTGTACCCGGAACAGCAATATTGGTGACTTGTTAATATCATTCTTATTTTCCTTCTAAAATATAGAAATAATAGAATTCTATACTCGGATATCTCTTTTCCTAGTAATTGAAGCAATAAAACAAATTCGACCAAAAGATTCAATAACAAGTGTTGCATAACAAGCCCAGTAAGGTTCGAACCCGATTTTGAAAACCTAGATACAACAAGTAACGAAATACTAATCTTGGATCTTTTCTTCCTGGTAATTCGTCAATAGTGTAAACACTCTATCATATTAACAAGCACTTGCAAATGGGTATCACATACGTTTTTCTTATATAGGAAAAAGGCATCACATACTCCTTTGCCAAATTAAGCATTCAACTCAATGCGGCAGATAGTCATTACAACTACAAAGTTCCTCCGATCACCAGATGGAAAAATGTCTAATGCTTCTGAGCCATCTACTAACCTCATTTTTTGGCTTGTATAATTGACAAAGCCATTCAAACCGCTCATCGGGGACATTCACCCGGGCCTCATTAGGCTCAATAGTACAAAAGGGGAAGTTCTCCGCAGGTATAGCCAATTTGGTAAGCGTGTTGAAAAGAGTAGATTTGCCAACATTAGGCAGCCCAACCTGAAACACCAGAAAAAGTTGGTAAAAGATATAATGAGTTCAAGAAATGCAGAACACACACGGTTCAAGTAGGATCAAGTGAAATATACGGCCAGATTGATTTTCAAAAATTCATTCCATTTCCTACGTTTCCGATTATATCAAACAAAAACTAACAGAGATGAATGAAAATCGGGGAAACAAACAAGAAATTAACAAGAATAAAGGCGGTAATGGAAGAAGGATAATGAAGCAAATACAATTCCAATCTTGAGGTGGGATGAGAATCGGCCAAGGATCGGCCTCTCGGCCGGTGCTTCCTTCGATTTTGCTGCTTTGGGAGGCATTTCTCGCCGTCGTAGTTCGCAGGATGACAGAAAAAGAGGCGTAGGGTTTTTGTCCTGAACACAGTGGCGCTCTAGTGTTGTGCTGACGGCTGAGCAGCTCTCTTGTTAAATGGATTTAAAATAGTTTTCTATTTTTTAATATTTGAGAATAAAAGAAATTATCTAATAATCTCAATTATATATATATATTTAAAATAATTTATATAAATTAAAATATAATATATGTAAATTTATTATTTAAATAATTATACGAAATTTACATATCCATATAATGTATATATTTTTAAATAAATCAAAATTTAATATTTTTATTTTTATTTATAATTTATTATTATTTTTCTCTTAACTTCTAATATTTGAGAATAAAAGAAATTATCTAATAATTTCAATTATATATTTTTTAAAAATAATTTATATAAATTAAAATATAATATATGTAAATTTATTATTTAAATAATTATATGAAATTTACATATCCATATAATGTATATATTTTTAAATAAATCAAAAATTAATATTATTATTTTTATTTATAATTTATTATTATTTTTCTCTTAACTTCTAATATTTATAATTTTCAACTTTCCATTGGGTAAAATTTAATTATATACTTTTTATTTTAATTATTATTTTTTGTAATTTTCACTATAATTTTATATATGTATATATAAATTTTGGTGCATGTATTATTATATATTGTTACATCATATCAAAGCCCATTTTCTTAGGCCCGACCCATTCTCAGCAGCCGTTGAAAGCCCATTTTCTTCCCCAAAACGCTCCCGTTTTGAGCAAGGCATTATATGTTCTCTGAGCATCGACAATGGCAGAAGAGAGTACGGGGCAGGCGTACGGCAGAGAAACGGAGATGAAATGGGAGAGAAGTGAGTCGAAATGATGATGGCTGATTGATCATATCGCTAGTCAGAGTAACGACACACAAGAACGACGTAAAGGAGAAAGGAAGAACTGGCGGTGGCTGAAACAGAAGAAGAACTGTCGAGGCGATTCGGCTGCGAAAGAGGGAAGATTTGGACGAGGAAAAGAGAGAGAAATCGAGTTGAGTAGTGAGGAAGAGTACGATATTAAAATTGGGGAGAAATAGAGGGCATAACGGAGACTGAAAAAGGAGAGGGGAAGAAAGATTAAAAAAAAAAAAAGGTGAACAGAGAAGGATCGGACTCGGTCGGTGGTTTTGAGAAAATGAGAAGGAAAAGTGAAAAGGAAGAAGAAGAAAAAAGGAGGAAGGGATGTGATGGTTTGAAGCAAGAGAGGAAGAATTTAGAGACCAGAAGAAAAGAAAAACAGGGATGAAACGAGAAGGCAGTGTCTTCAAAAGGTATACTGAATGCTCATGTTTGTTTTCATTTTTTAAATACATGCATTAATGTGATGTTATGAAAGGGTTGCAAGATGCTGAATGATTAATGTGGGAAAATTTAGAGTCTGTACTGAAATTTATCTTTATCAAGCATGTAGTACAGTTCTTTGAATTTCTATTTGAATTAATTGGAGAAGAATTCTATTGCTGGAATGATGGCGATTGCATCTCTAAATGTTAATATTACTCAAATTGGATTTGGATTAAAGCCTACTGGAGTCTGATGATTTGGCATGAATCCCAGGTTGTGTATAAATAGATATGATTGATGGCATACAGTTCTTTGAATTCCCATTTGAATTTATTGGAGAAGAATTCTCTTGCTGGAATGATGGCAATTGCATCTCTAAATGTTAGTATTACTCAAATTGGATTTGGATTAAAGCCTACTGGAGTCTGATGATTTGGCATGAATCCCAAGTTGTATATGAATAGATAATGATTGATGGCATACAGTTCTTTGAATTTCCATTTGAATTAATTGGAGAAGAATTCTCTTGCTGGAATGATGGTGATTGCATCTCTAAATGTTAGTATTACTCAAATTGGATTTGGATTAAAGCCTACTTGAGTCTGATGATTTGGCATGAATCCCAGGTTGTGTATGAATAGATAATGATTGATGGCATACAGTTCTTTGAATTCCCATTTGAAGCAACTGGAGAAGAATTCTCTTGCTGGAATGATGGCAATTGCATCTCTAAATGTTAGCATCACTCAAATTGGATTTGGATTAAAGCCTACTTGAGTCTGATGATTTGGCATGAATCCCAAGTTGTGTATGAATAGATAATGATTGATGGCATACAGTTCTTTGAATTTCCATTTGAAGCAACTGGAGAAGAATTCTTTTACTGGAATGATGGCAATTGCATCTCTAAATGTTAGCATTACTCAAATTGGATTTGGATTAAAGCCTACTTGAGTCTGATGATTTGGCATGAATCCCAAGTTGTGTATGAATAGATAATGATTGATGGCATACAGTTCTTTGAATTTCCATTTGAAGCAACTGGAGAAGAATTCTTTTACTTGGAATGATGGCAATTGCATCTCTAAATGTTAGTATTACTCAAATTGAATTTGGATTAAAGCCTACTTGAGTCTGATGATTTGGCAGAAATTCCAGGTTGTGTATGAATAGATAATGATTGATGGCATGGTATAGAGTATGCTGTTAGATTGAATTCAGTTTTGTTTTAAGCTTGGAATTTTGAATAAGTAGTTTTTTGGGTATTTCATATGATTATATGATTATATGAAATGTTTGGTTTGAAAAGATAATGTCCAGCTTAGGTTTAGTTTTCCTTTTGCATTTGCTCACATTTTCTTCTTTATTGGGATCATTGTACTGCAATATTTAGGTTTTAAAGTATATGATTATCTGATTATATGAAATGTTTGGCATCATTTGTTATGGTAAAGTGATATTTCTTGAGAATAAATGACATCTCTTATTTGTTATACAAGTTGAGGCAAAGAAAGCATGGCCAAAGTGAACAATGACTTAGGTAAAAGTTGATTGTTCATCGGTTACCATTTATCGATCATTTGCCAACAATCAGTCTTCATCTATTGTCCACCATTCCTCTTCAAATCATCAACAAAAAGATGTGGTTCTTAGCAAAGACTATAAAATATCAACACTATCCAAAGTTAGTTGGAGGAGATGCGAAAGTTGGTATAAACCCTTGCATGATAACACGAAACTGGTTTAAATGAAAGAACGAGTAAACTAATTATCGAGGAGGGGATGAGTAAACAAAATGTCAAGGAGGCCGAAGACTGTAACGAGCAGAGTATAAAACAACCTTTAAAATGATTCCAAAGAAGTCTTTATGAGTACTGCCTTGAAAAATGAATTAAGGATCATCTTTATCGAGTCTTGATGAGGCATAGAGTAGCGATGAACAAGGTAACCAAATCAAGGCAGCACTCGAAATTACTTGCTTAAGTTCTACGCATTCACAATATATTAAAAAATGCAAAATTTCAAAGTTCTACGCGTTCGACAAAGAATATCATGATCATCTGAGTTATTACTATAGTATAGTAGAGTCGTATACTTTTTACTATGAGTTACTTAATAATTATATTACATATGATGCAATTCAATAGTGAATTAATAAAAAATAATTAGAACTCTTGTCGACACTTGCATAAGTAGAGACTGTTACGAGGGTATGGGGCGAATTTGCTCGTTCGCATATACGTCTCATTTATATTAATTTTTAACATATTCTAAGCGAGTACATATTTATTAATTTATACTAACTTTTAGGGACAATTATATATATATATATATATTTATTATCTTATATCCTCATTTTTTTATTAAATTTCAAACAATAAAACACATTATATTATATATTCAACGTTGAATATAATAGTATTAGATTTTAAAGGAGATTATAAATTTATCATGAATGGTAGAATAAAACTTTGATCCTCAAAAGCCATGATTAGACACTATGCCCAATTGGAAAGCTAAATTGTCTCCATTAGGATTTCAAATTAACAAACTGTCCTGATTTGATTAAGTTCAAAGAATTTGTATCATCATAATTCAAATTCAATATATATATATATATATTTGTGTATATAAATACATGTATGTATGTCTATATATATATATATACATATATATAAACTCATAAAAATCTTCACAAGAAACACAAGGTTAGAAACTTGGGTAACACTTGGTCATTGTGACTAGACAAGAATCAACAACAAAATCCAAATTGATGCCATGTCTATCCATCACCACCTATAGATACAATCAATCATTCAAAATTTTAATAATTAATTTGGTCATTTTATAAATATATTTACTATAATATATTTAGGATAATTAATTTATAATTTATAATGTTCGATTTAATTCAATAACGTATTAATAAGACAACAGTAATATAATCGGATAGATTTTAATAAATTTTTTAATAAAAATAGTATTTTATAATAATTAAAATAATTATAATAACTTAAAATTTTATATTGATCGTATTAACAAAAAAATTATGTTGATTCAATCACACCAACAAATTAAATTAATTATTAATACATAATTGTAGTGGTTTGATTAGACACATAAGCATATGATTCTTTTAATGGTATATAGTTATTATATTTATATACCCATTTAAAAAGGAAGAAGATTTTTTGAATGGTAATCAAGCATATAGAGATATATACATACATATACATATATATATATATATATTATATATGTGTGTGTGTGTGTGTGTGTAGTCCCCATGAATAAATAATCAAGGTCGTTGGTGTTTCAAATCTAAATTATATATGTAGTCCCCATGAATAATTTATGGATATATATATATATATATATATATACATACCCTACTAAATTTAGTTTTGAATATATTATTTTAACCAACTTTGTCTTCTAATGATTCATAACTATGCATCTTGATTGGCTCATTTTCTTGCTTTACTTTTTTCACTTTTGAGACTTTTATACTAATTCTCATTTTTTTTAAAGTAAATTATGTTAAGACCTTTATTATATATATATATATAATATTAAATTTTTTTATTATATTTATTATAATATCACTAATACACTAATAAAAATATCGTATACAACGAAAAAAGATAATACGTGCAAATATATTATGATCAATTGAATCAATTACACTAACTAACGATGTTTTTCACTCCGAGTGGCATAAGCGCATGAAGACGAGTTAAGTTCTCTTAGTATACCTTAGTTTAGTAGTTAATCCCTTGAAAGAATTACATCAAGAATTATGTTACCTTGATTTATGTATACATTCGTATACGTTCTATATAAATGTACACGTTCTATACTATTTATATGGATCGTAAATTTTTAATTATATTAAATAAAATATTATAAATTACACTTGTAAGTTATTGGGTAAAATTTGAATAGGTAACTTTAAAATAATTTTATTATAAAATATTTGATTAGAAATTATTATTATTATATATTCTCTAGGGATATGTATATGAATATATATATATATATATATATAAATTAGAAACATGTGAAGTAGTGATGCTCAAAATGGTTTCACAGATCCATAAAAGCAGTGATTAGTAGAAAAGTACTAAAAAAAAAGGGTACTCTCTACGGTACGGAAGAAAGGGGCAGACAAAGGAATACACAGCCTTTTGCAATAATTGTGTACATAGATAGATATAGCAAGGGTATTTTTGTAATTTCAGACCAGAGAACAACTGCACTGTTCATCATCTTCTTGGCACCCCATGTGACCCAACTCAAAATAATGGACTCCCTCTTCTCCATCCATTCATGGTTGTCTTTTGTCCATATATATATAATATATATATATATATGTATGTATGATTATTATTATATACTTTTATATCACTTTTGGGTAATACTACATTTTCTATAATTAGGTGTAAATTTTTTTTTTTTTAAAATTAAAATAGCTATAGAAAGTTGAAAATTTGATCTCACTCTTTTTTTGTCATCTAAAGTATAAATTTTTACTAAAAATTGGATTAAAACAAAATACAAGAAAACAAATAATCAACTGAAAATTACCAAATAAAACGTATTCATAATCTTTACAGGAAGCTTAATAAATGGTATTTTCTGTGTCAGAATCCAAACATGTAATAAACAAACTATAATATATGAATTACTTGTTTTCTGAACAGATTTTCTACCGTATAAGCAAAGAATATATATATAATAATGGTTGAGTGAAGAAGGCAAGGGCGAGCTCTCACGAGTTACAACAGTTACGGGTAGATTCCAAGAGAAAGAAGGGAAGGGAAACAGTTACTAAACGTTATGGAAAAAAAAATGAAGAACAACAGAGTTGATCGTATCAGATTCTTGGAACTTTTTTGAAGGTACAACAAACAAAAAGGGGGAAGAAAAGAAAAAAAAAGATGGAGTGAACTTTTTCATTCTGTTTTCCAGCGAACAACCCATGTTCTACTTCCTTGTTTTTAGATAACCCTATCGCCATTTTGTTTGCTACTTTTATTTTCCTTCCTCTACCCACAAGATCCTTCTCGTCATCTTTCTGTGTCATCTGAAAGCTTCTCCTTTTCTTGCATTTATTTTCCGGTTCGCCTTCTTGCTTTGTTTGGCCCAGATCTGGCAAGTTAGCCGGGCGAGTTGACTGCTTGTTGGAAATTAGGTGGAACGGGAAAAAAGTTTTGCAGGTGGGTTTTCTTGAATCTGATATGTTCATTTGCTTTCCGTGGAGCTAAAGCTGGAAACTTTTGAATACGCCTAAATGGGTCTGATGAAGGTAACTGCTATGCATGTTGTTATAGATTCCAGAAATACCAAGTTATTTCTTGAAGAAAGCAGGTTTTTGGGGATGATGTGATTTTATGACTGGGTTTTGGTTTTCACAAGCATTTTTTGTATATGGGTTGCTGTTTGCTTAAAAGAATAGTGATTTTCTTCTTGCTATTTTTGGAAAAC